AATAAACTTCAGCAGTCAAAGTCTCTGGGAACTCAAACGGACCGATTATTTTACCATTTAAAATTCCTGTCCAATGGTTTATCTTGAAGCGATATTGAGATTTATCTTCTCTCATCAAATGTGGGTTTGCTACCTGCCACTCGTGTAAGTTATGCAGGTTCATGTACCCATCTTTCTTAAATGTGGTCTCATCCGAGCATAAAATTTTTTCAAAGAACTGTGGAACTTTCCTGTGTCTTTCTAACATTGTGCGACAAAAAGCAACTCGGGGCTCATAATTCCGGGGCAGGAGAGGTTGAACACGCTGTATGTGGTATGGATGAAGCACATCACTTACTTGCTATTGCACACTTTGATACCGATCAGTACTCCTTCGTTTACTGCGCATCTTTACATGTTCGTGCTTGTTGATTTCGTACTGTTACTAATTTTGGATTCGTGAACTGGACTGTTGATCGCTTGTGATTTGGATTTGGACTGTTTAATTGCTCTTCAAAACAACATTTGCTTTCCTTAGACTATCTTTGATAGTGTGATTGTGCAGTGCCGCTATGTCCGTGTACACCGTACAAGAATATGCTAACATGCACCTCATTTATGGGGAATGCAGATGCAACGCTAGTGCTGCAGCGAGACTTTACTGTGAGAGGTACCCGAATGCAGCTCGTCATCCAGATCATCGAGTGTTCACAAATGTGCACCGCTTACTGTTCTCAGAGGGCCAACTACTAAACCAATCACACGGTGAGGGAAGATCTTTCCTTCCTTACGAAGACGTGGTGCTAGGAGCTGTCGAAGAAGACCCGAGTACTTCAGTGCGTGCAATAGAACTAAAAACAGGTGTGCCCAAAAGTACAGCCCATAGAATCTTGCAAAAAAAAACGTGCTCCATCCATACCACGTACAGCGTGTTCAAGCTCTTCTGCCCCGGGATTATGAGCCCCGAGTTGCTTTTTGTCGCACAATGTTAGAAAGACACAGGGAAGATCCACGGTTCTTTAAAAAAATTTTATGATCACATGAGACCACATTTAAGAAAGATGGGTACATGAACCTGCATAACTTACACGAGTGGTACGTAGCAAACCCACATTTGATGAGAGGAGATAAATCTCAATATCGCTTCAAGATAAACCATTGGACAGGAATTTTAAATGGTAAAATAATCGGTCTGTTTGAGTTCCCAGAGACTTTGACTGCTGAAGTTTATTTGGATTTTTTGAAAAATCATGTACAAAATTTATTGGTGGACGTGCCACTGAGTATTTACAGGAACATGTGGTTTCAGCATGATGGCTGCCCAGCGCACTATGCACTCTCAGTGAGAGAGTATCTCGATCAAAACTTTCCAGGCAGATGGATAAGGCGGTCTGGTACAATACCGTGGCCAGCCCGATCACCTGATTTGAATCCTTTGGATTTTTTTACTGGGGAACTGTAAAAGAAAAAGTGTATTTCAAGCCGATTCAAAATGTAGCTGAAGATGTCGAGCGTGTATTGCGGCTGAAGGTTTTTCTTCAAATAAAAATTGTGCATAAGTTAACGAGTAATCTTCTAAGTGTTATACCATTTTGGAATCGTTATGAAATGCGCCAAGTTTTAAGGTTACTTGCCAAACTCTCGTAGTAAATTTTTTCCTGTTCAGCCAGTTAAAGTTGAGCAAAGTTTTACTTTGGAATACTTGGTTGGGAAATAAGTGGCAATTTTTCCTGAACGAGAAAAGTTGGCAGTAAGGTTGAGACACCAGTTTGAAGATGCATTATTCATCATTACATTGTAAAAATAAAATCCAAAAAAAGTTAATATTTGTAGTAACAGGAGTTGACAGACTGCCGTAGGGTGTGAAATTTCTATATTTTTTTCAAAGACCTATAATTTTCAAAACACATACATAAAAATTTTTTAAATATTTTTCTGATAGCTGTTATGACTTTGCCTATCACCCGGTTTCGGCTTGACGTCGACTTCTGGGACACCCTGTATATATATATATATCATTACGCTACGCCATCACTAAGCTTGCTCTTAGCAATGACGTATTCTTTTCCTGAATAAAACTGCATTTCCAACAGCTGAAATAAATTATTTACGTCCTTTCTTCGATTTACTCTCGTTCTTCTGCTCGTGCGTTGAAAAAGAAACGGCGTCAAGTAGGTTTACTCTGCACTTCTCACGCATCAGCTCACAAAGAATTATGTTAGGACAATCTTGCCGTTCAGAGAAAAAAATTATCTAATTTATCCCTTGCCCTGCTGACAATACCGACCACGTGGCAACGTTGCTAAATCTCGCTAGCCAGCAAGGCGACGGTACACAGGTATAACCTATGTTAGCGGCATTGCGTGCATCGCGTGTGTTGAAAATATTTGTCTATTATTCAAAATTTTACGGGCAAATGCACGGGGAAATATACAGGGTGTTTCAGTTTATTGTTGCATAACTTTAAGATTCGATGGAACTTTTAAAATTAATGCTTAAAGTGTATATAAACATGGGTCGAAAAATGCGTGGCTTCCGAAATACAGGGTGTTTAAATTTACTTTCTAAAATAGTTTTTTTTTTAAATATTTCGAACAATATTTGATGTATAACAGTGAAAATTGGTATACAAGGGTTTTTTGGTACGACAAAACGAACCATGGGCATAGTTTTACTGTAGCCGCTAGAGGGCGCTCTCTACTGTACCTGTGGTGTATTAAAATGACCGAAAATTTTTCCTTAGTGTAATTTTTGGCTTTTTGAATAAAAAAACTGATTCTTCGCACTATTCAACATAAAAAAGCTCTCCTGTGAGTTTTCGTTATAGTTAGCCGTTTTTGAGATATTTCGATGCTTAAGGTTCGATGCATTTTTAATTATTCATGGGAAAATAATATTTTTTTTACATTTTCGATTTGGGCATTACAAGTTATTAAGATGATCGTTTAGATTGTGTTTTTAAACACAGCAATAATTCCTAACTCCAAATAAACACAAAAAACAGAATATTAATTTGTTTAATTTTCCAATATTATTTTTAACAAATTAAATTAATTATTTACAACTAAAATGCTATTGGATAGTTAGGACAAACATACAAAATCTAAAGTGGTTGCTCGAAATGTAAACCCAATTGTTCAATACACAATTCACATCTACGAATGATCGAACGTGGTATAGCATTATTCAAATAAGGCCTTATTCCATCACATGCATTCCTGATTCTGTCTATTAGCATATCTCTTGTGGTTACGGGAGTCTGGTGCACTTTTTCTTTTAGAAATCCCCACACAAAGAAATCTAATGGATTTAGGTCAGGGGATCGTGGAGGCCAGGCGACTGGTCCTCCACAGCCGATCCATCTTTCTGGATAATTTTCGTCCAGCCAGTTTCTAACTATTCTCGAATAATGAGCTGGACAACCATCAAGCTGGAACCAGGCCAATCTTCTTAAATCTAACATAACATCATCCCACATATTTGCATGTTCAGCCTTTAAAAATTCCAAGAAGGTCGCAGCATTTAACCTTGCAGGCAAAAGGTAGGGTCCAAATAGTCGATTACGGTAGATACCAATCCACACGTTCACACTAAATTCATGCTGAAAATTTCTTTCCCGAACTGCATGCGGATTTTCATGCGACCAAATATGTTGATTATGAAAATTTACCACTCCACGTCCAGTGAAGCATGACTCATCGGTCTACAAAACGTTACTTGAAAACTCCCTATTATTATCAGTTCTATCAAGAATCCACTGACAAAATGTGATTCTTCGTTCTCCGTCCCCTGGCTGTAGTCCTTGCATAGGTTGCAAATGGTAAGGACGTCTAAGAACACGGTGAACATGGCTTGCTGAAATTCGCAAGGCACCAGACACTCTCCTAACACTTGTGGTCGGATCTCTATCAAACTCACGCAGAATCATACGGGTAAATCTGCGCTGACGAACATTTATGTTTTGATCCCTTCGGAGATTTCCAAAACCATTTTCAATTATTTGGCGATGCACTCTTACAAATACTGAGCGAGTTGGATGTCGTCTGTTTGTAAATCTTAGTGCGTATTCTCTGGCTGCTTCTGCTGCGTTTCCATTTACAAAGCCATACATAAAATGAATATCCGCTAACTCTTGATTGGAGAATAAAAATGGAATTTCTATAAAACTTACAAAAAAAAAAACAGGTAACAGAAACTAAATTTCGTGCATTCACAATTGCAAAAAAACGTTTCAGGTTTCAACAGACAACGAAACTAACTGTCAACTATTGACGTTTAACCTTATTCTGCTTTCAATTTCAAAAATATTTGCAGGCACAGCCTACTTATAAAAATTATTGAGATACTGACTTTTTAACGTTATTTTATCATAAATAATTAAAAATTCATCGAACCTTAAAAATCGAAATATCTCAAAAACGGCTAACTATAACGAAAATTCACAAGAGAGCTTTTTTATGTTGAAAAGTGCGAAGAACCAGTTTTTTTATTCAAAAAGCAAAAAATTGCACTAAGAAAAATGTGTCGGTCATTTTAATACACTGCAGGTACAGTAGAGAGCGCCCTCTAGCGGCTACAGTAAAACTTTGCCCATGGTTCGTTTTGTCGTACCAAAAAACCCTTGTTTACCAATGTTCACTGTTATACATCAAATATTGTTCGAAATATTTAAAAAAAAACTATTTTAGAAAGTAAATTTAAACACCCTGTATTTCGGAAGCCACACATTTTTCGACCCATGTTTATATAGACTTTATGCATTAATTTTAAAGGTTCTATCGAATCTTAAAGTTATGCAACAATAAACTGAAACACCCTGTATGATGTAAATGTGTTTAATAGGTGCGTATAATTACAAGGTCTGGAAGCGTATAAATGTACTAACGCCAAAAAATTGAAACATACCCTCCCCCACCACCTACGACCCCCAAACCTCCAACAAATATTTTTTGAGACGTCAAGGAAACGAAACCTGAGCGATTTTTGTATTTTCGGAGCTGGGAGGTAAAATGTACCTATTCGGAGTTCGTACTTTAATATTTAGTTAGAAAAATGCAAATCCTTACATAGTAATAGGTGCAATATATAAACGTTTCTTTTAAAATTTAATTTTCATTCAATTTCAATGATCTTCATCCTCGTCTTCCTTCCGAAATTTGGACATTTCTCCCGAAGCCTTTGAGCTGTTTCTTGAGCTCTTCGATTATTTGGATCACCTTCTATAATATGTTCTACAGTTCTCAATGCTTCATCGTATCTCTCCATGTTTTCTAAAGCCTCTGCTTTCCTCAGTTGGGCTTTCAAGTTCTCTTTGTCCAATTTCAAAACTGTTTCGCAGTCCGACAGGACATCATTATATCTGGAATGGTTAAATAAAAGTACATAGTTAGAAAATACTAAATTTATATATTCTTGCTTTGATATTACAGTGATAGTTACAGTTAAGTCAATGATTTCTAACGTATACTAAGTGACATATAAATCCGAACACCCAGTTTAAATAGTTTTATTTTAATAAAAGTTGGTGAATGTATTTATCTTACTGTAAATAACAAGTGAAAAAATTTTCAGCCTTATCAGTTGGACATTCTGGTTTTTATACTGCTTTTTTTTCAATTCACTAACGCTCTAAAAATGAATATTTCAGCCGCAGTATAGAATCAACGTTGGCGGATTTTGGTTCTTGACATCCTTCACGATCGGTTACGTTGCCTAGAGTACGGAGACCTGTACGATTTCGACAACTTAGTGAGTTTGATAGGTGCCGTATAGTGGGACTTCGGGAAGCTGGACTTTCTTTTCGGGCAATTGCAGTTAGAGTGCAAAGAAGTGTAGACACTATGGTTAGGTGTTGTCAGGCATGGCTTCTAGAAGGCCGTACGCAAAGAGCAAGGGGCACTGGACGCCGCCGTAGAACAACAGACCGTGAAGATCGCCGCCTAAGATTATTGGCCTTAAGGGACCGTTTCTTCACTACCAGGTCCATTGCAAATGAATGGTTTGCAGAACACGGAAGACCTATTGGCATGCGAAGTGTTTACCGACGAATGAGAAGTTTTGGCTTGTTTTCATACCGGCCACACTGGGTCCTCCCTTTAACTCGAGAACACCGACGTAATCGCCTTGAGTGGTGCAGACAACGGTCACTCTGGGATCAGGAATGGAACAGTATTGTCTTTAGTGACGAGTCTCGATTTTGTTTAGGCATGCACGATGGTCGTGCCAGGGTTAGAAGGCGACGTGGTGAAAGGAGGAATCCACAGTTTTTTGTTGAAATACATGTTCATCACACTGTTGGAGTTATGGTTTGGGGTGCTATAGCTTATGGTTCCAGGTCACCTTCAATCTTCATCAGAGGTAACATGAACGCGCAGCGTTATATCCACGAAGTTCTAGAACCCCATCTTTTACCCTATCTTGACACCCTGGCAGAACCAACTTTCCAACAAGATAATGCCCGACCACATGTTGCAAGAGTCACAATAGACTTCTTTCAACATAATGATGTCACATTGTTACCATGGCCATCAAGATCTCCCGACTTATCCCCAATCGAGCACGTGTGGGATATGATGGGTAGGAGATTGCTCAATTTGCAACGTCCTCCTCAGACTCTAGAAGCACTTGGAGAGGAGTTGGTGGTTGCCTGGAATGAGATACCACAGGAGGACAAGGTCAAAGGGCTTTAAAGCAGTGCAATCATTTTGAAATTTTTATCATTTACTTATTATGCTTCATTAAGTACTTATACAAAATTTTATTAAATTAAAACCATTTAAACTGGGTGTTCGGATTTATATGTCACTTAGTATAACGTATAAGGTAAATGTCAAATGAGGTTAACGTTTGCGTACGCGGTATATGTGACTACGAAAACTCTTCATTGTGTAATTGATGTACCTTTTTAATTTCAGATTAACAGCTGCTCTATTGTTGATATTGAAAACATTCGCCTTAGCCGCGATGCTGTCATTATAACATTGCAATGCTTCTTCGTAGTCGCCGCTTTTGAAAAACTCATTTCCCTTTTCTCTTTCTCGTTCAGAAAAGAACGTAGCTTCTGCTTCTGTCGCAAATCTGTTGAAGCTGACCTTTTTCTTCGGTTTTTCCTCCTTTTTAGCTTCTTCAATACCTTTCTTTTCGCTTAGTTCCATCTAACAGACAAATACGTCAATGTATGTAACTTAGGCCCGTATCGTCAGTCGTCCCTACAATTGTAGGGCGCCTTTATGATTGTCATAGTTTTCTACTTCTCCGTGTCAGCGCTCTATTTTGAGGTTATGTCACAAACATCTATTTGCATCAAATTGTGCTTGCTTTTGAGTTATATCAGCCTGAAATTTCCTACAATTTAAAAGGAAAACATATCCTTACAATAGGAGAGCGCTGACGCTGACACGGGATAAGTGTAATCTAGAAATTTTTGAAGGAGAGAACGGAGTATGAGAATCAAGGAGGCCATAAACGCGCCCTACAATTGTAGGGACGACTGACGATACGGGCCTTAGTGATATTGAATCCAATATGGCGGCAACAACATCGCGATTCCGCATTTCCATAGTAACATCGATGATATGAGTATCAAATGAAAGAGCTTGATGAGAGAAACAAAATAAGCAAAGTGGGGTCATTCTAAGTATAACATGACGGCCACCGCGTTTATAATTACCATAGTTACCCCTATGACATAGGTATCAAATTGAAGGGTTTTAGAAGAGAAACATAGTAATGTTACGTCATTTAAATCCAATATGGTCGCCGCAAAATGACGATTTTTAATTTGCATAGTCATCCCTAAACCACAGATATCAAATGAAATTTGGGGGAAACATAATCTCTAATTCTGTTGATCTATAAGCTAATAACTTGTATTCAGTTTATTGTTGCATAACTTTAAGATTCGATAGAACTTTTAAAATTATTGCATAACGTTTATATAAACATGGGTCGAAAAATGCGTGGCTTCCGACATACAGGGTGTTTAAATTTACTTACTAAAATAGTTTTTTTTAAATATTTCGAACAATATTTGATGTATAACAGTGAAAATTGGTATACAAGGGTTTTTTGGTACGACAAAACGAACCATGGGCATAGTTTTACTGTAGCCGCTAGAGGGCGCTCTCTACTGTACCTGTAGTGTATTAAAATGACCGAAAATTTTCTCTTAGTGCAATTTTTTGCTTTTTGAATAAAAAAAACTGATTCTTCGCACTTTTCAACATAAAAAAGCTCTCTTGTGAATTTTCGTTCCAGTTAGCCGTTTTTGAGATATTTCGATTTTTAAGGTTCGATGCATTTTTAATTATTTATGATAAAATAACGTTAAAATGTCAGTATCTCGATAATTTTTAGAAGTAGGCTGAGCTTGCAAATATTTTTGAAATTGAAAGCAGAATAAGGTTAAACGTCAATTAGTTGACAGTTAGTTTTGTTGTCTGTTGAAACCAGAAACGTTTTTTTGCAATTGTGAATGCACGAAATTTAGTTTCTTTTACCTGTTTTTTTTTTTGGTAAGATTTATAAAAATGCCATTTTTATTCTCCAATCAAGAGTTAGCGGATATTCAATTTGTGTATGGCTTTGTAAATGGAAACGCAGCAGAAGCAGCCAGAGAATACGCACGAAACGAAGATTTCCAAACAGACGACATCCAACTCGCTCAGTATTTGTAAGAGTGCATCGCCAAATAATTGAAAATGGTTTTGGAAATCTCCAAGGGGATCAAAACATAAATGTTCGTCAGCGTAGATTTACCCGTATGATTCTGCGTGAGTTTGATAGAGACCACAAGTGTTAGGAGAGTTTCTGGTGCCTTGGGAATTTCAGCAAGCCATGTTCACCGTGGTCTTAGAAATGACCATAGACGTCCTTGCCATTTGTAACCTCTGCAAGGACTACAGCCAGGGGACGGAGAACGAAGAATCACATTTTGTCAGTGGATTTTTGATAGAACTGATAATAATAGGGAGTTTTTAAGTAACGTTTTATGGACCGATGAGTCATGCTTCACTAGATGTGGAGTGGTAAATTTTCATAATCAACATATTTGGTCGCATGAAAATCCGCATGCAGTTCGGGAAAGAAATCTTCAGCATGAATTTAGTGTGAACATGTGGATTGGTATCTACCGTAATCGACTATTTGGACCCTACCTTTTGCCTGCAAGGTTAAATGCTGCGGCCTTCTTGGAATTTTTAAAGGCTGAACATGCAAATATGTGGAATGATGTTATGTTAGATTTAAGAAGATTGGCCTGGTTCCAGCTTGATGGTTGTCCAGCTCATTATTCGAGAATAGTTAGAAACTGGCTGGACGAAAGTTATCCAGAAAGATGGATCGGCCGTGGAGGACCAGTCGGCTGGCCTCCACGATCCCCTGACCTAAATCCATTAGATTTCTTTGTGTGGGGATTTCTAAAAGAAAAAGTGTACCAGACTCCCGTAACCACAAGAGATATGCTAATAGACAGAATCAGGAATGCATGTGATGAAATAAGGCCTTATTTGAATAATGCTATACCACGTTCGATCATTTGTAGATGTGAATTGTGTATTGAACAATTGGGTTTACATTTCGAGCAACTACTTTAGATTTTGTATGTTTGTCCTAACTATCCAATAGCATTTTAGTGGTAAATAATTAATTTAATTTGTTAAAAATAATATTGGAAAATTAAACAAATTAATATTCTGTTTTTTTGTGTTTATTGGGAGTTGGGAATTATTGCTGTGTTTAAAAACACAATCTAAACGATCATCTTAATTACTTGTAATGCCCAAATCGAAAATGTAAAAAAAATATTATTTTCCCATAAATAATTAAAAATGCACCGAAATATCTTAAAAACGGCTAACTATAACGAAAACTCACAGAAGAGATTTTTCATGTTGAAAAGTGCAAAGAATCAGTTTTTTTATTCAAAAAGCAAAAAATTGCACTAAGGAAAATTTTTCGGTCATTTTAATACACTACAGGTACAGTAGAGAGCGCCCTCTAGCGGCTACAGTAAAACTATGCTCATGGTTCGTTTTGTCGTACCAAAAAACTCTTGTATATCAATTTTCACTGTTATACATCAAATATTGTTCGGAATATTTAAAAAAGCTATTTTAGAAAGTAAATTTAAACACCCTGTATTTCGGAAGCCACGCATTTTTCGACCCATGTTTATATAGACTTTATGCATTAATTTTAAAAGTTCTATCGAATCTTAAAGTTATGCGACAATACACTGAAACACCCTGTATAATGATTTAAGAATACACCCTACCTTGAGCAGTTCCGTGTCCGGATCATATTTATCCCAAGCGGAATAGTCTGTCGATTTGATCCTCCTTTCTTTCGAATCTTTCTTAGGTTCTCGAGATTCCTTGAACGTTCTAACCTCTGCATCGCTGTGTATGCTTCTACATTTTCTGTTGTCTAGTTCTTGGTCTTTTTTGGAAATGTTAGTCAACCAGTATTGCAGATCAGAAGTTAATTCCTCTACCTCATCCTTCTGGAGGGAACTTTTTTCTAACACTGTACAACAGGCTCGTAGGAGTTTGCTTTTCGGGTTGATTACATTTAGACGTTCTTCGGTGAATCTTATCAGGTCTGGGTAGTGGCCTTCTTCTCCTGAGCGAAGCACCTATATGAAGATTCACAAAATAGTGCTCAAATGTCGTTGCACCACAGTGTGTTAGCCAAATGATTATAAGATATATCTAAATATTGCCAAATTGCTTACAGCCTCTTGCTCATAGATACCATCCCAACTAACAATTATCACTCCTATTAGAGTTGCAAAAATGATTATACAGTATTCCTTAGACAGCATTGTGTACTGTAAGAACATTGGCAAAACCCTCTTAGAACAGCTATACAAGCGGAATGGGCAAACCTAATAGGACACTTCAGAGGTTGTATAAGGGTTGCAGGTAACATTTATACAAAAAAAGTGTAAGCGCCTTGCAGCCGCTATAGGACATTTGCGTCAGTGCAAGATTCAGTCTTTGTCAACTATACAACTATTCTGTTACGTGATTCTACTTTATTGCAACCAAACTATTTCTTATGTATTGCATAGACCCAGCATTTTGGTGTTCAGGCAACAACAATAGAGAGCTTTTATGGCTGAATGGTTCTTTTACCAAAAGCTTATAGCACTACTTTGCTAGTTGGGATGGCACTGACTTTGATATTATCATGGACACTTTTACTACGACTATATTAAGTTTAAGGCCTACATATACCTACGTGAAGAATATTCTCCAGCTCTCTGGCATCCTTGCACTTCTCAATGTAATCATATTCAAAATGTTGTATTGGTATCCTGTACTTCTGAAGCAAGGTTTTTTTACGATCCGTTCTGCGATCCACATCTGGGGCGTCGGCCAGTTTGGAGATGTCCTCGGCGAGTGACATTTCTATTTTTAAAAACTGTTTCAATGACAAGAAGGTGGCAGAATCGTTGCGAACTGAACGCTATCGAGTAGCAGTGAGTATTGATCAAACAGCTGCTAGCTTGTTCGTAAACGATTGGGATGCCTGGATCCCTGCAGTTTTGCCTACTTTGTCGGAGTGCAGAATTTTCAGACAAATATCATTTAATAGACGAAAGTTTCCTAACCGAACTCAAAGTCGTGATAGAGTGCACGATAGTAGTATTATTCGTACATTTGTAGGCAAGACTATATTCTTATACGGGGTGGCGCATCGAAAACGAAACAGACGCATTTACTCTTTACTGACTTTACTTTATCAATAAATCTTCAAAACTACTGAACCGAAGTACATAAATTTTATATCATTATACAGGGAATTGAAATACATTTAAAATAAGGTATCACTCGACCCCCCTTTCCATTTAAGATTTTGGGGGTGGTGTCACCCCCGCTTAGGGGCTGCACGTGCTAACGTAACAAAATCGACGGGTCTGAGCGTTTTTCCAAAAAAAAACTAAGCTACCAGTAAATTCGTCTGTTTCCTTTTCGATGCGCCACCCTTATAATCTCTCAAATGAAAAGGTCCTAGATTTGTAATTCTGTTTTGGGATCCAGTTTCAAAGCTATTATTGGTCTTCGAAATAAGAAAAAAGCGCGGAGAATTGTACGTCTGTGATTTTTATCGCTGAAGAATCAAGAACTTTCTATCTGTTTAAATAGAAACTGCCACCAATATTTCAGATCAGGGGTATGTGAGGTTTTTAGAGACTATTTTTTTAATAATAATTTTCAACTACAATTTATGACAGCGTAAAGTAAATGATGTCAGCATTACAAAGAAAACGGCGTACCTTCACTAACACACGTTCACGAAAAACGTTGGCAGCTTTTTCTTCTATTAGGACTTCTTGCAACTTTGGTGCCATATTTAAAGTGACTGTATTTATTAGATGGAGATGGTTGGTAGATTTCTTGGAAAGCAGATTTTTTGCTCTTCACGTTCTTCAACTACGACAACATACGAATTTTGGTTTCGAGCCACAGCTGTTCGAGATCCGCCACAAGCTCTTGGCATCACATTTTTACTTGTCATTCGAAATTTGGAAGCCTTGACCTAGGTAGCTCGTTGTTTACACTAAATCGTCGTAACGATCCAACACATCCAAGAAACTGGTCGACTGTGCTCATAATAGGTAAATTGTTATTTGAATAACAGAATAGTTGTTATCAGGATATCTACGAGTATCTTTCTCTCATTGTATGAATAATGCATCTGAATTTATAAATTCTAATTAAAAGGTAAAATGTTGAATTCCGTCTCATCTAGCCACGTTTTTTCGTTTGCTGACACTGAAAAGAAAGCCTAGACGCTACGATTGAATTAACATATGAATTTTACTTTATAATTAATTGTAATAAACCTACTAATAGTGTAGCTTTTCTGGAATTCCATCATTTGTTAAGCATATTGTAATTCAGTGGATGTTTTCGCATACCTGACAATAGGCAATTGCATGAAGAAATGGATTTATGCATTTTGAATTTTGGTTTTAGAAATATACTAAGTGACATATAAATCCGAGCACCCAGTTTAAATGGTTTTATTTTAATAAAAGTTGGTGAATGTATTTATCTTACTGTAAATAACAAGTGAAAAAATGTTCAGCCTTATCAGTTGGACATTCCGGTTTTTCTACTGCCTTTTTTTAATTCACTAACGCTCTAAAAATGAATACTTCAGCTGCAGTAAAGAATCAACGTTGGCGGATTTTGGTTCTTGACATCCTTTACGATCGGTTACGATGCCTAGAGTACGGAGACCTGTACGATTTCGTCAACTTAGTGAGTTTGATAGTGGGACTTCGGGAAGCTGGACTTTCTTTTCGGGCAATTGCAGTCAGAGTGCAAAGAAGTCTAGACACTGTGGTTAGGTGTTGTCAGGCATGGCTTCGAGAAGGCCGTACGCAAAGAGCAAGGGGCGCTGGACGCCGCCGTAGAACAACAGACCGTGAAGATCGCCGCATAAGATTATTGGCCTCAAGGGACCGTTTCTCCACTACCAGGTCCATTGCAAATGAATGGTTTGCAGAACACGGAAGACCTATTGGCATGCGAAGTGTTTACCGACGAATGAGAAGTTTTGGCTTGTTTTCATACCGGTCACACTGGGTCCTCCCTTTAACTCGAGAACACCGACGTAATCGCCTTGAGTGGTGCAGACAACGGTCACTCTGGGATCAGGAACGGAACAGTATTGTCTTTAGTGACGAGTCTCGATTTTGTTTAGGCATGCACGATGGTCGTGCCAGGGTTAGAAGGCGATGTGGTGAAAGGAGGAATCCACAGTTTTTTGTTGAAACACATGTTCATCACACTGTGGGAGTTATGGTTTGGGGTGCTATAGCTTATGGTTCCAGGTCACCTTTAATCTTCATCAGAGGTAACATGAACTAGCGGCGTTATATCCACGAAGTTCTAGAATCCCATCTTTTACCCTATCTTGACACCCTGGCAGATCCAACTTTCCAACAAGATAATGCCTGACCACATGTTACAAGAGTCACAATAGACTTCTTTCAACATAATGATGGCACATTGTTACCATGGCCACCAAGATCTCCCGACTTATCCCCAATTGAGCACGTGTGGGATATGATGGGTAGGAGATTGCTCAATTTGCAACGTCCTCCTCAGACTCTAGAAGCACTTCGAGAGGAGTTGGTGGTTGCCTGGAATGAGATACCATAGGAGGACATTGACCACCTGATCAGAAGCATGCCTAGGCGCGTTGGAGAATGCGTAGCACATCAGGGTGCATCCACGCATTATTAAAGGTCAAAGGGCTTTAAAGCAGTGCAATCATTTTGAAATTTTTATCATTTACTTATTATGCTTCATTAAGTACTTATACAAAATTTTATTAAAATAAAACCATTTAAACTGGGTGTTCTGATTTATATGTCACTTAGTATATTTATAACAATTTAAGCCTTGGAAAATGTTTTCCAAGAAACTAATGCACCATCGAAACAACGTAGCCAAGATTTCAGCATATTTTTGCTGGAATTACGGATCTAATTTGGATGATTTTGTTCTTCTGGTCTTCTCCAGTATAGAAAATGGCGTCAAGTTGATTGACTCTATACCTACGTTTCCGGTTGAGGTTTTATAGAAAAGGGATGAGTCAAGTTGTTTCTAAAAGGTGAAACCGAATCGTGATTAGTTAGATTCAGTTAGGTATGGTTAATCTTCGACGTCTGTATATCAAACTATATAAAGTAAATCAGATTCCATGGCAGATGTAGGGAAATATGTGTGACTTATTATGTCTAATACGTGCCTGGTATCACTCAGATCTGCGGCTTCTTAATAATAGAAGGTCCTTTCACTGAAACCCAATATGCAATAATTTACAGCCATTTATCGTACACAGCTTTCAAACTACAATCTTCATTCCCTCCAAGCATTGAGCAGGAATCGCTGAAACGTTGTAACACTTAACAGTATGTTCTAGCGATTTTATTTCGTCGCCTTTGGATCAGTTTTCAAAATCTACGATATATGCGTCATAAGTGCTGAGACAATCTGCTTGACGAAATATTCAGACAACCATCATAGACGAAGTAATACAAATAAAAGGTTAGAGGATATGGGTGGTACATTCGGGGATCATAAAACTCAGAAAAATACAAGGTGTAAACGTTATGATAGTCATTATTTAAATGGGTGATAGAGGTGGTTAAAACACGCAAAAAGTTTCATATACAAATACGTATATGTATAGTTATAACGACAGTTAAGTCATCATTTCCAAATCACCGCAGAACGCTAAAGTGATACATACTCCTAATATATACTAAGTGACATATAAATCCGAACACCCAGTTTAAATGGTTTTATTTTAATAAAATTTTGTATAAGTACTTAATGAAGCATAATAAGTAAATGATAAAAATTTCAAAATGATTGCACTGCTTTAAAGCCCTTTGACCTTTAATAATGTGTGGATGCACCCTGATGTGCTACTCATTCTCCAACGCGCCTAGGTATGCTTCTGATCAGGTGGTCAATCTCCTCCTGTGGTATCACATTCCAGGCAACCACCAACTCCTCTCGAAGTGCTTGTAGAGTCTGAGGAGGACGTTGCAAATTGAGCAATCTCCTACCCATCATATCCCACACGTGCTCAATTGGGGATAAGTCGGGAGATCTTGGTGGCCATGGTAACAATGTGACATCATTATGTTGAATGAAGTCTATTGCGACTCTTGCAACATGTGGTCGGGCATTATCTTGTTGGAAAGTTGGATCTGCCAGGGTGTCAAGATAGGGTAAAAGATGGGGTTCTAGAACTTCGTGGATATAACGCTGCGCGTTCATGTTACCTCTGATGAAGATTAAAGGCGACCTGGAACCATAAGCTATAGCATCCCAAACCATAACTCCAACAGTGTGATGAACATGTCTTTCAAAAAAAAAACTGTGGATTCCTCCTTTCACCACGTCAGCTTCTAACCCTGGCACGACCATCGTGCATGCCTAAACAAAATCGAGACTCGTCACTAAAGACAATACTGTTCCATTCCTGATCCCAGAGTGACCGTTGTCTGCACCACTCAAGGCGATTACGTCGGTGTTCTCGAGTTAAAGGGAGGACCCAGTGTGGCCGGTATGAAAACAAGCCAAAACTTCTCATTCGTCGGTACACACTTCGCATGCCAATAGGTCTTCCGTGTTCTGCAAATCATTCATTTGCAATGGACCTGGTAGTGGAGAAACGGTCCCTTAAGGCCAATAATCTTAGGCGGCGATCTTCACGATCTGTTGTTCTACGGCGGCGTCCAATGCCCCTTGCTCTTTGCGTACGGCCTTCTCCAAGCCATGCCTGACAACACCTAACCACAGTGTCTACACTTCTTTGCACTCTAACTGCAATTGCCCGAAAAGAAATTCCAGCTTCCCGAAGTCCCACTATACGGCCCCTATCAAACTCACTAAGTTGACGAAATCGTACAGGTCTCCGTACTCTAGGCATCGTAACCCATCGTAAAGGATGTCAAGAACCAAAATCCGCCAACGTTGATTCTTTACTGCGGCTGAAATATTCATTTTTAGAGCGTTAGTGAATTAAAAAAAAACAGTATAAAAACCGGAATGTCCAACTGATAAGGCTGAAAATTTTTTCACTTGTTATTTACAGTAAGATAAATACATTCACCAACTTTTATTAAAATAAAACCATTTAAACTGGATGTTCGAATTTATATGACACTTAGTATATTAAGATAAAATAATGGGCATATAATTAGTAATTGCATGTAGGTATTTTGCTTATTTATTTATTACTTATCGGTTTTATTGATATAAGTGCAAGATAGCAGCGAAAAAAAGAAAGTTCTCCGAAGACTGTATTTACATTTATCCATACATTTATTAGTTTATTTAAACTTTTAAAGTTTCTTTATTAGAATTAAAATAAAAGTCTTTGCACCTATATAATGTCGTTTTTTTGTATTTATTGAAAACGTAAAAGAGGGCATGAAAATATAGTTTATAGTCCGGGGAGTCTCAACAAAAAAAAAGTTGGGAAACCCTGCTCTTACACATCCAAAAACGAAGTTTGAACGATTTCATTTTTTTTTTGTATTTTTCTCCGTCAACACAATCGATTATCAAACAATTCAAAGCTTTCTTAACCTTAGCACAGTAGGCATGGAAAGTAATCAATTGTAATCATTGAACAGCAACAAGCTTTCAAAAAGCGCAAAGTACAACATAACTTATTTGAAGGAGATACTGACCGGGCTATAAGATCACAGAAACAAGGCTATCGCAACGTTTCTACACCAGCACTTTGCGTAACTCAAAAAATCCACCTTTTACTTGTCACATGCAGAGATATTGTTGGTAAGGTTGGCGAGGTAGGGACAGTGGATACGCCTGTGCATGTACGTATGTGTGTCTGTTCGTATGTGTTAAATGCGGCGCATTCGTCAGATATTTCACCACGACAAAAAATGAGAAAAGTTTAGCAATACCTAAACAGGTGCAGCAACCAGTTGAAATTACTGCAACTTGATACAGGGCTGGGCACATTTGTAACGTAACACTCTCAATCAGCCTGGTGGGTACTTGAAATGCACTATCTAAAGTTTTAGTGAAATATAAATATTAAACTTCTGATCACCTTCTTGTGGTGTCGCGTTGCCAACATGTTACACCGTTCCTTGAATTAAGATTCGTGTTGAAAATATGTTAGTTTGTTCTCTACGCCCAAACAATGGTTTTATTTTGAGCGTACACGTTTTGGAATTGTGTATGTAAGAATGTGAACATACAGTAATGGACAAAAGTATATAGACAAATTAATATTGTGGTGTTATACGCACTTCTTCCAGGAGGATTGATAGCTAAAAACAATGCATCGAGATCATGTCGCTTAAAGTGTTGTATAGCAAACCCTATGACTTTTTGATAACGTGGATTTTCATCTTCATGATTACCATTGGTTTTACTAGTCCATCGTCAGTTTTAGCTAATGGTCGAAACTCTTCAAGTTCGAGAAGCGTCTCGAAATCCTGAGCATGAGTATTAGCAGTAGATGAACTATGGTTTCCACTTCGAATAGCGATGTATGTTGGTCCAGAATATCCAACGGCTTGAGGTTGTCCTAGCATATTGGAAGTGATTTTGATACCAGCATAAAGAGATGGTATTAATTTATGACGCTGAGCGATTACCCAATCGTGATCAGGCAATTTGATTCTATATTCCATGTGCATTAGAAGAGGTGCTTGCTTATTTGCCGCAGTTACGCCAATAGGGACTCGAGCTTTAGCATCTTGAGATATGAAAAATACTTGATCAGGTCCAAGTATGGATGCTATGTTCTCTAAATAATGGATTGATGTTTCAGCGAACTTGCTATCTAAGTGGCTCTTGTGCTGATCAGTTTGAGCCCGAATGAGCTTAACAGTGACTGTGATACATGTCTTCGTCTCTCTGCAGAATTAGATTTTCTAGGAATCCAACGAGGATATGTCGTACTGCGACTAATGTCAAATCCTATTTTACGTAATTGTTGTGTGAGTTCATCAAGAGTTTTTACGCTGCGAACTGATTCCGTTCGTCTTCTATCATCTACTGCACTCCCAAATAAAACTATATTCGCGATTGTTTTCAATAGTGAATGCTGATTGCTTTCAAGATTAGGACGTCCCACTGAATCCCTCAGAGATAGTATTTTTTTTATTTCTGGATTTTCATGTCAAATATCTTCTAACTTTCTTTTCATACCATCCCGGTGTTTCTCTGGGCAACTGCGTTTTGAATCTTCCTGTTTAAAGACTGTTTTGCTGTTTTTATTTCCTCGCGGAACTTAATGATCTGTTTATCAACTTCAGCAGGGCTTGGCATAGTATCTCTGGCATTCAGATTTTTTTCGAGTAGAGCAATCTTATTTTTCATATCTTCCTGAGAAGGTTTTGCTCTCTGTTTATCTGTATTTTTATTAATTTCACATTGCTGTTGTGATTCATTACCGGGTTCTATTTTATCTTCTTCCTCTTTTTCAATATTTGAAGCTGACTGTATAATTTGTGTTTTTTCTGCAGGTTTACAGGTTGCCTAAAAATAAAAACTTTCTATGGCTTCTGCTAAAGGTTCTCTTTTCAAGCTACATAAATACAAAGTATGGCAATATATATGGTAAATACAAAACCCTATGGCTTTAAATCTAATATGTTTAAACGAGCAATTCGTTCCGGTCACAAAATACAGGGTGTTAGTTTTCTGTATATTATGTATAAAACTAACATCCTGTACTTTGTGACCAATTGACAGAATCAATCATAAGAAATAAATCTATAATATAATGAATATTACCTCTATACTTTGAAATAGGCCATATTATTTTCCAATCAATAAAGAGAAACTTTTTGGAGATTTCTCATATTTCTTGTACTTATAGGTACCTAAAATGGTTTCGTCACTCACCTTAGAAAAAAAATTTACTAGATTGGATTTATTCTTAGTCGCCGCTTGCAATTCTTCTTTGATTCCCTTAGATACAATAATATCTAGTTCCTTGTCGGATTTTGCTTGTAATTTGTATTTTCGCCACACTTCGTTAACTCTAACTTTTGTACATTTTGTACTTTTGTACATGTATGAGATTTTTTAGAACTTTCAAATAATTTTTGGTATAACTTGGATTTTTTTTTTTATTTAACAGATAGTACCGCATCAACCTCGTAGGGTTATTAGCGGCGTGGACGGCACAATAATCTATGTATTGAAGTACATGTCAATGTCTTTGATAAATTTGACAAGTTTATCGGTTTGATGCAGTAACACTTCACTGATGTCATTAGAAAGGTGGTTGAGACTTCTGGCATTTTGATAAGTAGGGCACTCCATCAGGATGTGAACCACCGTGAGCCGCTGGTTGCACGTTGAACAAACTGGGGCATCGGTTCCTTCGAAGATGTGCTTGTGAGTCACTAGTGTGTGGCCTATCCGGAGACGTGACATAATTATCTGGTTCCTTCTTCCTGAAGGTAGAGTGAATCGCGTGTTGACATCCGGAGCAATTGCGAGTAGTTTGCTGTGACTGCCATTCCATTTCTGTTGCCAAAGAATGGTTATGTGCACTTTTATTAGTCCTTTCAAATCTTGGTAGGCTGTACGAATCACACTTCTGCTTGAAGGGACTGCCGCTCTTGATGCTTCTTTGTCAGCCTCTTCGTTGCCTGGGATTCCAGTATGTGAGGGTACCCACAGAAACTTTATCCTCTTCTTGTCGTTGTACAGCAGACGCAGCATGTCCTTAATTCCCCTGAGTATGCAGTTGCGAGGGTACAACTGTTTGATACCTTCCAGTGCACTCAGCGAATCCCTCACTACTAAGAAGTTGGCATCTGTTGTTGTTCGTGCCAGATTGAGCGCTTCCTTGATGGCTGTCAGCTCTCCAGTGTAACTTGGATTTGTCTATGTGAAACAACATCTTATTTAAACATTAAACTAATGGAATCAATGGTAACACAAATGTTAACTTGCTTTAATATGCTTACAATACGTCTACTCGCTATAGTATCTAAACGAAACAATACACTGATAGAGGAAATTTAGACAAGTGAACACCGCGCGGTAATTCCCTTACTCGATTCTAAAGCGAGTAGGGGAATTACCGCGCGCTGTTCACTAAACGTATGCATTATTTGCGGGAATCCCCGAAAATGCGTTTCGTTTTCGAGCAAAGACAAAGTGAAGGTTGCCATTCGTGTAAAAATTAAATAACCAGCGATGACGTAATCATCATCTAGACTCCCCTACCCCCCATGTCATCCAAAATAAGCAAAGCGTATTTATTAAATCACTTCTCGATTATCATTTCATTAATCCCATCTCTAGCTTTTTTGCTTGGAAAATTTTCCGCTTGGAGCGCTTGATGCGGAGTTCCTGATCTGCGATCTTCCTCGCGCTTCCTTTTCACTTGAGCCGCCGATCGAACAAGAGCTAAGAATTTTCTTCTCTGTAGCACAAGGTCATATAGCACCATGTGCTAGAATTTTGTAGAATGTGTGTCCGTATAGGACAAAATGATTGGGGCCACCCCTTTCTCTTTCTCTTTCCCTTTCCCTTTCTCTTTCCCTTTCCCTTTGCCTTTGTCTTTGACTTTGCTTTTGCCTTAGTCTTTGACTTTGCGTTGCTTGGCCTATCACTTCACCCATGCATGTGCCTTGGCAGCACCATCGCCTTTAAGTTCAACTTCGCCTACAACTGGTTTTGAAGCCACTATAAGTGAGGTCACCCCTCATAACTGGGACCTCCACTTCAAGCACCTGGCCATCCTCGCTTCAGTCGAGTCAAAATGGACCAGCGAAAGATAAGTTGATAGTTTTATAGCAGCGCCAAAGATGTAAAACTTATTTTGTTCTTTAAAACTGTAAAATTGTAATGTAATGAAAATGCTTTTGGTCGACATACAGCTACACGCCTGTAGATGACTTCATGCCACCGACTGAGCTACCGGAAGCTAATGGTAACCCCCTTTCTGTGATTGTGCAGAAAAGTTGGAATCTTCATTGCATTCCATCTTTTCTGGACTTTTTGCGGAAAGGAAGCGTTACAGATTGATCTTAAGGGCATATTGTCTTCCATATAGGTAACTTGACATGTTTTAGTATGTCTGTGTATACAAACTTATCCATAATGCCCATCTATTCTATGTAAAGGTCCCATCCCAAACCCCGAAAAGCACTCCCAAACCATAACAGATCCGCTTCCATGTTTGACAGTGGGCAAAGTGTACTTGGGGTTCAATCTTTGTCCACTAGGACGTCTAACGTAATGAACACATCTGATCCGAACATATTGAACTTGGATTCGTCACTGAAAAATACCCTCTTCCAGTCACAGATGCTCCAATCAACCGCAACCGTGCAAATTGTAATCGGTCCTTACGGTTTTATCTCGAGAGCGGCTTCTTACTCGGGCAAATAATTTCAAATCATTTAATCTTCCACTTATAGTTTTCGTAGAAACACTGACAATTCCTTTTGTCTCCATTTCGGCTTTTATTTGTCTTGTGTTGCTTTTATTAATCTAACTGATCTAGCATTTAGTTTTCTAGGCCGACCACTTCTCTTAAGACTTCCAAGATACCTTTTTGTTTATATTTGTTCAATATTGCCCAAACTGCTTTACGCTTCAGCTTAAAAATTTTGGCAATGTCGACTTGACGTTGACCATCTTTGTATAACTCAATGATCTTAGTTTTCACATCGAAAGACATTTCTGGACCACGCGGCATGGCCTTAAAATCACTCAACTTATTCCACAATACTAATCCTCTTCTGACACGAAACTGTACTAAACTAATGTTGAAAAGAATTTG